TATGAATGGGGGAAGAACCAAGCCAGCATCACCTGATGGTGCTCAGTAGGCCCTGTCCATGAAGAGGAGCCAGGAGCCAAAAAACCCTGGTGTAATTAGGTGGTAGGAAAGAGTTTTGGAAAGCTTAGTACAGGCAGTCCCTGAGTTACAAACATCCAATTTACAAATAACTCCTACTTAAGAATGGGAGTGAGACAACGGGATGTGTGAGAAATTTTCCCCTCAGAAGGGAGGTTCACTCCTGGAAGAGTTATCATGGGCAAAAGATGTCTTAACTGAAGTTTTCTCACCAATCCTTGTTTCCACAGCAAGCCAAATTTTTCAAAATCCAATAATTACAGGGACAGATAATGAGGTGAAATCTTCTGAACTGGATCTTCTGAACTGCGGTACAGACAGTAAAACACCACAAGGGTGTTAACCCTTCCCTATACAACCAGAGCACGCACGTGTGTGTGTATGTGACTAAAGTTGCACTTTAAAAATGTACCTGTTCCAACTTACATACAAATTCAACTTAAGAATAAATCTACAAAATCTATCTTGTTCATAAATTGGGAACTACCTGTAGTTCTTAATGTGTATGTGCATTTTTAAAAGCTGCTCTCCAAATAGCAGAAAATTGGAAGAATCAGATTATTTTGTTAGAAAGTGTGGTAAGCAGAGTCGTCATTCAGTGGATTTTTGACAGTCAAACATCTCTTACCATCAGGACATTTTTTTCTTAATGTTTAGGAAAGAGAAGACCTTATGCATAATAATCTCGGATGACACCTGCAGACCATACTTTTGAAGGACGAATTAAGTGAAATCTTGCAAACTATTCTGTATAGATTGCTGGGGGCCATCCTTAATATTAGACAAAGTAAGGCAGCTGCCTCCAATGGCAGGTACTGTAAGGCATAGAGCAGAGGCCAAATGTATGGAATCAGTGTACAGTATATGCCATTCATGTCACATTAACTAGCCTGCTGCTCTTGGGTGCAAGGAGAGGAAAGTGACAGTAATGTTGTGCCACCTGACTACTGCCTGCCAATGATACGTCTGTTTGGCAGCTAAATATCCTGAGATGGTATTGGTTAACAAATAGTTCTTCCTAAATTGATGCAATGATGCAAAGTCTTTAGGTTTTCTTTGTTTTCTTTCTACTTCCCACAATGTGATTATCACAATATAGATATTTCCTGTCTAACAATGTAAAATAAGGAATTGTAAAGTATAATATAGTTGAGAAACAGAGCTGTTTTCAAGGACATAACTCTCAGAAATACTTTAGCTATGAATCCTTATGTGCCAGGAGATTGGATTAGATTATTTCTGGGATCCCTTCCAACTCTCTAATTCTATGTCTGCCACTTATATTGAGCTACTACTAGAATTTTGGTATCTTTACCTTCCTCAGAAAGAGACTTGTATCTCCTGATACACAAGTCAATTTTATAGTGTAACACTGTGAACTATGTGAAGAACATGGGGACCTTTGCCCTGCATATTTCTCTTCACTACTTTTGGCTAAAGCAGAAAAAAAACTTTTAAAAAGTATTGAACATATTTCCTCAGGATTCTGTGATGATTATTGATATTATTATTGATATTATTATTGATATTATTATTGATATTATTATTGATATTATTATTATTATTATTAACACAACAAGATGAGTCCACAGTAGACAAGATCACTCTGCTGGTTGTTGTATATGGATCACACGTTGGACACTTCCCAAGTGTCTAGGACTGTGTGATGTATCAGTGAATAATGCATGCAGATCCCAGTAGGGTGGCCTTTTGCAGCTGACAGATGGTAATTTTGTCAGTACTGATTGTGTTTAAGTGCATGATGATGATTATTATATATCTTATGGCTATAGGCAGGTCACAGAACATTTAAAACACAAACATTGCAAAACACCAAAAATACATATATTAAAACATACTTTTATAAAAGCTACACGCCAAAACCTATATTAAAATACACAAAACAGAGATTCAACAAAGGACACACATTTGATATTCACGCTTAAAGACTGGATAGGTCTGCCAGAAGAGATAGGTCTTTGCATGTTTTTTTTACTATGGTTGTGAAACAAATATTTATTTATATTATTTTATGTTGTTTAATTAATTTCTGTATGTAATAATAATCACTAAATCACAATGAAAGCTAACAAATTTAGCCTTTGGTACATGCCAAAGTTCACTTGGCAGATAATATATGCTTCTGTGTACATAGCAGGGATGGACATTTCTGGCCTTGTGGAAGTTTTGGTCTTCATGTCCAGAAACCCCAGCTGGTATGGTCAATAGGGGAAAAATGAAATTGTTGTCTATATATGACCAAATAATCTTCAGCACTGTACTAGAGCAAGGAAAGATGTAAAAAAGTGAGATTGGATGGCAAGGAAATCGAGAAGGATCATCAACACCATTCACACTCTGTCAGAATTGTTGCAGACTGCATTTTGTAGATTTCATCATTATCAAAACTGCCTTTCATTTAATGTATCTGTCAGAGTGGACTGTTATTGAGATGTTCAGACTGATATGGCTTTGTTATTGTTGTGTGCTTTCAAGGAATTTCCAATCTATGGCAACCTTATGGTGAACTTGTCATGGGATTTTTTTGGCAAGATTTGTTCTGAGGGTTGTTTTTTTTTTTTTTGGCCTTCCTCTAAGGCTGAGATTATTAACTGCATTGGGTTTCCATATCTGAGTGGGGACTTGAACCCTTGTCTCAGAGTCATAGCCCAATGCTCAAAACACAATATCATGCTGCCCCTTACTAACATAGCTCACTTTCTTCAAATATATCTAGCTTGGGGTAATGGTGGTGGCTCAATGTATTTTTCTCACCTTGTCTTGCATGCATGAAATCTTATGCCAACTCCTCCTTTTGGCACACTAGCTCCCCATCCTACTGTGAAGAATAGAAACTCCACAAAACAAGCAAATAAGCAGCCAACACGGGGACATGTGTCACTGGGGAAGGGTTGTTCGCCTGTCTTTTGTTACATGCCTATTTTCTAATTTTCAGCTGACATTTTTCTTAGTGAAATAAATGAATTGACTCCAGCAGAGGCCTATTCGGATTAAACTGCTGTCACTGCCTCGCACGCTTAACAAATGGCTGCCTGCATCCGGCCGCACGGCAGGATGCATTCCAATTGGAGCAGGGAGGAGGCTGAGTGTAAACTGCAAGGTGCTCATCAGGAAAATTGCTTAGGAAAGCAGAAGCCCAGACTTGGAGGGGAACAAAATGCTTAATAAAAGTTTTAAAGGGTTGTTTAATCCCCAAGATAAAAAAACCCCAGCTCCTGAGACCTTAGTTGGTACAACCTGGCCTAAATCATTGGAGCACTGTTGATTTATACGAGCTGAGAACATGGCTTGACAGGTACAGGGTTTTTGTTTGTGCACTCTTGTGGAACAGGAAAGAAGGAAATGACAGGGATATAGAGCCTTGAAAGTTGTTGTGCTGGAAGGTGACTCCAGAAGCCATCTTGCCATTGATGCAGGATTAATTAAGCAGAAACTATTAACAACATGTTTTCCCCTCAAAAGTGAGTCATGTTGGCCCTAAGAAGCATTTCACATGAGAATGTCCCTACAAGCCTAGTTACACACTTAGAAAGAGTATGTGGGACTGTTTAATCTCAGATTTCCTGTGGAGGAAGGATAGTATGAAAGTACTCTAATTCCCTCAAAAAATGAGTATGCTATCTCTATTCTTAAGAAGTAAAGAGCATTCTTGTAAAAATCTAGGGCAATATAGGTCTTGAGGCAGATGAGGAAGGGCTTCATATTCAACATGGTTTGTCAGAGAGAATAAGAGCCATCCACATTTTATCACATTACAGCTGCCACAATCTCTCATCATTGGCCATGATGATGGAATTTGAATAGGCATTCTATTAATGCCATATGCATGTGTAAGTCCACCTTTTGCCTACATATAATTTCTGTGTGTGTGTGTGTGTGCGCGTGCGCATGTGTGTCATTTCAGAGTTTTTTATTTACTCCTTCTCCCTGAAATGGCCAAAGCCCATCCAAATAAGACACAAAACAGCTACAATATGATAACTCTTAAAGACCTCAGTGTACTTCAGTAGATGATATAATCATTTCATGCTATGCTAAGTGCTTCTGTGATCCTAACTTTCCACCGGTTATGGAACGGCAATGAGGTGCTACAAAGTAAAGCAATTACCTCACTGCTGCTAAACCAGTTTAAATGTTTTCATCCTTTGTGTCAGTCCCCACATGGTGCAAAATGGAGTCCTATGACTCCAACACCATCACTTTTTTTGTTCTGAATGACTTTTCTTACTTCTTTTGCTTGATGAAGCAGCCAGTAGAGCTTCAAAAGCTTGCACAAAGCATTTTGTGCATTTTGGTTGTTCAATTGGTCTTTCATAGCTTTTAAATTTTGAAGAAATTGACTAAAGTCTCATTGATTCTGACATGTGGAAATGTTATTATAATATACATAGGAAGTTACATTGGGTCCTGCATTATTTTTACATTGATTACAGCTAAGGGTGTGTGAAACAGCACGGAATCCATTCTGTTTTCGTTCTGTTTTTGTGTGCCCTCCCGTTCTTCCCAAAATGGAAACAGAACTTAGGGTTCCAAATTACCAATCTGAATGGCCCTCATCTAATCTCCCTAAATCTTCCATAAAACAGAATGGGAGAACCTGAAATTTGAAATGAAAATAGAACAGATTCGAACACCCCTAATTATAGCAATGGATAGAGTAGTGGATGCTACAACAGACCAATTATTTGCACCAGTGCTTCAAGCATATGGATTCTTGCCATTAATGATTAAATTTATTTCATTTATATCACTGTTACAATTCCATTTTTAACAAAAAAAATCTGCCATCCCATTTTTTATGACACAGGTGTGCTAAATTTTACTACTAACTTTGCAACAAAGTGTCCCAGCATTTATGCTGTAAGTGGTGTTTAACCTTTGATGGAGCCACAGAAACTCACTGCTCAGCAATAATGTACTGGTCCTCCAGTGGAGTGCATTCCACCCCTGCCACTTGCACGTTATGGGCTATCTCAGAGAAATCCAGTCCCAAGTTAATGCCACGAATCGTCACACGTGTTCCTCCTTCTGGTGGTCCTGAGACAGTTAGGATCTGGGGACAAAAGCAAAACAGTATTCATAACCAAAAAACCCCCCAAAAAGGACGATTCTTCCTAACAAGGCTGATATGGCTTGAGTAGAGGAAAGCATAGATTTCAGTCTCTTCCTGTTATAAGTATAGATCCAATGACTTCGAGTAAATTATTAAGACAACTAGTCCATATAGAAAATGAGAATGACATTTCCTTCTTTGAGGTTGTACTGTGAATAAGAACAGTGGAAATACAAGTCTCTACAGTAGAAATGGGCAAAGAATGGCTTTTCAGATTTGTTGGGATGAGATGCAACTTTCAATGCCCCTTGCATAGCTAATGGTGAGGAATGTTGGGAACTATGAGCCAATAACATATTTGGCTACCTCAGGCTAAAGGCAGAAAGGCAAGAACAACATATTCTCATTCAAAATGTAGTTCTGGCTTGTGTCTTGGTGAAATAGGAAACCCAAATTCAATTATAGCTTATGAACAGGGATTTTTGTATACACTGTTGCAGTGGGAATTTTTTGATGTCTAGAACACACAGAGAGATTTACATAGAAAAAGGCATCTCCAAGAGATCAGTAGTATATAGTAGAATATCTAAATTCATTAGAATTACTGTGATGTTGTATTTACATGGGAATAATCTCTCCAACTCCAATTTAGTGCATTGCCTTTTTAAACAATGCCAAATTTTCAAAAGATGTGCCTGCCAGCTGCCCCTAATAATTTGGGTTTCCAAAAAGATGAAAGGAGGATGACCAAAGATTATGGAGTAGCTGTTTTAGGGATGATAAAAAAACCAGTTAATCATGCACTCCAGAGACATATTATTGCATAAAACAATAATGAAAGGAAAAATGCATAAGTTACACACAGTAAATATGATTACATGTGAAAAAGCAACTAAAGCAAACCAAACCAGAACAAAAAATTAGAAAAAAACTACAGCTAATATGAAGAGCACAGGGAAGCATTTGTCCAAATATAAAGAAAGATAACTATGGGAACATTAGTACATGTTTAATGAGACACTACGCAAAGATATCTGGAAGTGGAGCATTAAATGGGACAGCACACGTAATGAAGCATGAGATGCTTAGGACATTTCCAGGTATGTTAACATGAAAACTGGCCCATCTGAATACACTCTCTGAATACTGCAAGAACAAAAACAATTCAGTATCTTGTAACTTTAAAAAGTCCACAATTGCAGTTGTGCAGGACCTTTATTAAGTCAGGTAAAGAGCAAAATTATTATGCCATCTCTAAGAGGGTTAATCAGGCTAGGTGTGGAGCAGACCTGGGGAAGGGGAGTAGGCAAAGAGAAGAGCCTGGAGGCCCTTCCACACAGCCCCATATCCCAAAATATCAAGGCAGAAAATCCCACATTAAGTGAGCATGGATTCAAATAACCCAGTTCAAAGTAGATATTGCTCCCTGATATTCTGGGTTATAGGGCTGTGTGGAAGGGTCCTGGCTTGTTATTAAAGCCACAGTATCTGTTGTTGGCCACTGTCTTAAGATGCTAGGCATTCTAAGTATCTAGGAAGTCCTAAGTAGGTGTGAGGTTGCACCTGGGAACATCTGGGATAAAGAGGAAATGGGAAAAAATACACTTTTTGAATTTGTATAATGTCAAGTAGATCTGTCTTCAGCTGTAAGCAAAACACATTGCTCCCTTGGTAAACAGAGACTAAAGTAGGGGAAAACATTGTTATTTTTAGATCAGCTAAAGGCCCTATAACCCAGAAAATCAAGGTAGAAAATCCCACAACATCTGCCTTGAACTGAATTATCTCAGTCCACACTGCCATATATTCTAGTTCAAAGCTGATAATGTGGGATTTTATTCAGCTGTGTGGTAGGGGCCAAAACTAGAGGTTAAAGAGTCAAAAGAAGGATAATGTAGCATTATTTTGTAGTTAGAGGGCATGGTTCTTAGTTAGCTCCAGATTTACATGTCTTTTCTGGGTTTTGGAGAATATGGGGTTTTCCCCTATTCAGGGGAAGCATCCAAAACTGAAGAACAATGATTTTCTATCACCTAAAGATGAACCACATTCCTCTTTCTTGGTTGTGTACATAAAAAGTCAACTGATCTCCAGCCAGTGAATTTTTACCAATGGAAAATTTATCCTATGCTTGTTGTATTATTAATATCTACCTGCCTACCAACCTACACATCCACCAAAACACACGCAGAAATGTAAAGAGATAAAAAGGTGCTTTCAATTTCTGAGCTGCTACTTTGAACGTATAGAACCTTAAGTCACAAATAAAAGCCCCCCCCCCCCAATGCAATGCTATTATGCTGTGCATGGATAATGTGTCTCAGTATCTTTAACACAGGATACATTTAAATTTTCTGCCACATTAGTACAATTGGTAAAGTTATTTCATTGAGAAAGTCAAACTGAGATTGTCACATTTGCAGCATGTAGTATTTAGAAAACAACTTTTTTAAAAACAATTTTTCAAACAAAAGGCAAAAACTGCTCAAATTTTCACTCCAAATCTCTTTGCAACAATCCTGTGATAGACCAGGAAAAGACTGGGTTTTGAGGATCACTGAATGACAACCCACAAGCAAATGAAGATATCATTTCCTTGCACTTAATTACATTTTTAAAAGTGGGTAATGCAATATTCCTTCTTTCTGAGAAATATCTCTTGCAAAGAATGTCAGTTTCCTTTGGTAAGGAGATAGGAATAACCAAAAAGACTAGGTTCATTGCATAGGGAACTGGAGATACATATGTTGAATTAAATTGCTTAATTAATTGATCACTAAACAGCCTTCAGGTCTTGTAGTTCCATACCTGGATAATCTTCAGTTCTGACTATGACAGATTAGCTTCCTAACTATAGGTAGTGTGGATTTCATTCACCCCTAAATGTAGTGCATTTCCCTTTACTGTCTCATGCGTCTGCATTATTTCAATTATTGGACCATTCCAGACCTGCTTTTGTATAAATTGAGTTGTTCTGAGGGAATGATACTATCCTTGAATATGTATGCCTGTGACTGTCTTAGTGTGTATATGCAGATGTGCTTATCTTTAATCTGCCCAGAGCATGAGGCATTTGTAATGAATGAATGTTGATTTGTGCATTATTATTTAAGATACAGCTGTATAATAAGCAAGGAACACACACAGATACACACACAAAGACTTTACTATAGACATTTCAACAGGAGAGGAGACACCAAGAAGGCAAGGCAAGGAAGGAAATAATGAAGTAGGCAAGAACTTGCTATGGGTCCTCATACAAATGTGATGGCATAAGGTTAAAGATTAACTTGCTAGGTTTTTGCACTTTCCATCCTGACATAATTTGATCCCATTGCAGTGGATCATTATTTTAATATGAGTTTAAACACAGTGCTTCCCACAGCTGTGCCAAATGCCACCTGCTTCTCGGGCAGATGTTGTAGACCAGATGTGTGTGCTAAATTCATGCCAATGTGAGATTAATGCACAACATATCGTTCAGAGGCATTCCAAACAATCTCATCACCCTTCTTAGTCTTTGTTCAACCCCATATTGCATTTCATTTGCAAATTGCACATATATTCTATGCACTTGGAAGCAATGGGACTGCATCATGTGCTGTAATCTTTCCCAGCCCAACATGTGGGTCTCAGCTTCTCAATCATGCTCTGACAACTGCCCAGTCATGGGAGGCACCTTCTGGACCTACTCTTGCGGAGCACGAAAAAAATCTGGTGGGAAGCTGTAGTTGGTTGTTAGTAGCAGAAACCTCTACTGGGAAACTTATGCTGGGTTCTTTTTTATAAACTTCTAAAAGCTAGTAACCTTAAATAGTTTGACAGTTACTTTGGAGAACTTCATTAAGCTCCACTCTGGACAAGCTTTGAATGTTAAATACCACATTTTATTAGGGAGCAAGGCATTTGCACCTCCTTAAATGTCTTTTTGAAATACTAGAATGAGGGGGTTTACTTCATAGGTTGCCTAATTATAGTATGCCTCTGTCATAGCCACTTCAGCTCCCTGCCTAGGAAAGGGTATTCATTCAACAGCCATTTCCAAGTGGAATGCTCAGTATTTTGTTATAGGCTTAACAACCAAAGGGCACCAGGCAGGAGAACATATGGTATAAATTTCTGGCTTCTGTTAGTGGTTTGCAGTACTAGCTGGCAAACCCCTTATTCATTAATTGTGCTTTTAAAATCTAGGGGCAATCCCTAGAACCATCTCAACAGTAGTTTTCACAGTTTTGAGCCATAGTAAGTTATCATGTTGGCACATCATGCTCTGATACATTGCAGCTTACCATGGCTTAAATTCTATGTAATAATATGACTTGAGTTGCAATTCTGTAGAATGTTGGTACAAGATAGCTTTATAAAGTGCCATGTCATAAAAATCAGAAAACAATGTTGGTTGATGCCTGCAATGTTCTGTACATTGGGCTACTTCTGTACTAAGTTTGGAAACTTGATTTAGTTCAAAACATGGCAGCCAGATTGGTACATCTAGGAGTAATAATATAACACCAGTATTAAAATTACCCTAATGGCTGTCAGTTAATTCAGGGCAAAGTACAAAATATTGTTTATTACTTTTAAAGTCCTCCATTATTTGAATCTTAAAATAGTTTTAAATGTTTAAAAAGAAGTAAAGAAAAGTCTCTTGTGATATGCTTATAGAGATTATTTCTAAATTGATGGATTTTAATATATACTAGTTTTACATAGTTGTTGATTTCTTAGATATGTTGAGACAGACGTGTTGGGTCACTATCCATTGATTATATGCAGAGTGAATATCTCTTAGCACTAAGAAAAAAAATCCAATTCCACACAGCTGAAATTAGATGAGGGAATACCTGTGCTGTTCTCAAGGTTGGACTTTGAGTTTGACTTAAGGTCTCAGTGTTACAGAAGAAGAAGAAAGAAGAAGAAGAAGAAGAAGAAGAAGAAGAAGAAGAAGAAGAAGAAGAAGAAGAAGAAGCAGCAGCAGCAAGCAGGGCATCAAATGCAAC